TTATAAAACTGGGTACTTGGCTGTGTACACAATTTTAAACTTTTTAAACTTTATCTTTCTTTTTGCGCTTTAGCGGTCTGACTAATTTTCATAAGTCATAAGCGAAGTTGCACTTTCTAAAATTAAAATGCAGTACCACTAATAACTAATTATCTACCAGTCATCATTATCTTGAACAGTGGAAGGTATGGCTGTCAATGAATCATAACACATGATCTATCCAACAGCACCCCTCCCCTGTGTACACAATTTGTTGCCCACATTCTACACAGCTTGGCAGCAGTACCTACATATGACTTGGTCTACTTGAGTACACTTAAAAATGAACACAGAAGTTATGTATTTTCAAAATCACTTAATTGTTTTTAGATGTAAATGTTTTTTGCTGTAGCTTTGTAATATTTTCTGTCCCAGTAAAGCTGTCAAAACAAAGACTTGGTGCTCTAGAGAAGCTTACCACTGTTTYCCAACTCCATACAATAATCTTTCAGCAATCGGTTTATAAGAATACTAGAAATCGGTTACAACAGTAGGAGTTTGCTTGTGAACTGATCATATTTATGTGTTGAATGATCTCCAGGTTGCCAGTGGGATGATTTTGGTTATGGCTTTCTTCCTCATTACCTACACCTTCCACTCTACCTGGGTGACCAGCGAAGCCTACTCCTCTCCCTCCATCGTCCTGTCTGCCCGAGGAGGCGATGGCAGCCGCATCATTTTTGACGACTTCAGAGAGGCGTACTACTGGCTCCGCCACAACACTCCTGAGGTCCGTCATCCCCACAGACATGGAGACATCACAGCACAAAGATCTAGTCCCTAGATGGTTGGACTGTCATTTCTATTCTGATATTAAACTAAATGCTGTGTTCACAGGATGCTAAAGTCATGTCATGGTGGGATTATGGCTATCAAATAACTGCTATGGCTAATCGGACCATTTTAGTGGATAACAACACATGGAACAACACTCACATCTCCAGAGTTGGACAGGTGAATTCAGTAACCTTAGGGCTAAATGTTTATAAGGTGCTGCAGTATGACTGAACTCTGCTTTACTCTGCAGGCCATGGCATCCACAGAGGAGAAGGCCTATGAGATTATGAGAGAACTGGACGTTAGTTATGTCTTGGTTATATTCGGAGGACTGACAGGCTATTCCTCAGATGGTATGTCTCGTCCCTGAGTAACATTATATACTGTACGTATATCAGTATAAAGTTGTAAATGCTCATCTCTGTTCATGACAGACATCAATAAGTTTCTATGGATGGTTCGCATCGGAGGAAGCACTGACACAGGCAAACACATCAAGGAACACGACTACTACACTCCCACCGGAGAGTTCAGGGTAGATCGTGAGGGCTCCCCCGTCCTGCTCAACTGCCTGATGTACAAAATGTGTTACTACCGCTTTGGACAGGTCTACACAGAGGGCAGTAAGTAAACAGATTTGTCTCTTGGTCACTTTGGTTTCAGTGATGGCCAGTACTAGTGTAATGTGTTGGTAATAGCTTATCTGAGAGCAGTTCAGTGTGTGTGAATGAGCACTGTGGTGCTTTTCTCTAACATTTTAATATCAGTTTCTAGACTTATAAACAATCTAAATAACTTTTTAATGAAAAAACGCAGCATCAGCAGTGGGTAAACTTTGTTTCTGTTCATTTAAAAATTTTGCTGATGACAGACTGAGTCTTCAAAGTTAAAAGGATCCATGATTAGTTGTAACATTAGATTTTATTTGATAAACATTTATTTTAACTGTAAAATAAAGACTGTAAAAAAGCTGTTTAGTTTTGTAAATTTTTAAAAATATATTTTAACACGGACGGAGCCATTTTACTTTCACACAAAGCATTCTGGGTAAATGATGGCGTGGATAGGTCCTCAGTGTGAGCGAGCTATATCCACCCTGAAGGTTAATCTTGGACAATATCTGATGATCGACTCTTTTAAATGAAACCAGAGAGCGTTGACAGAGAGGAGAAGGTAGAAATGACTCAGCCTGGAACTGAAAATATGGATGGAGGTCAACAGAGCTGCTTCATGGAAGAAGAACCTCAGCTTAGCCTGTTAGCCTTTACGATAGCACTGACTCTATCACCATAGTAGCTCAGTGTAGGGCTGGGCATAATCGTATCGTGTGCAATTAATTGTCAGAAAAATATTAATAGATTATTTTTTGGAACTTCACAATTAATACGATTAATGCCACCAGGCAGACTGACCGCTCATTGCTCCTCTCTGCTTCAAATATGATGAATATTTAAAAAAATGTTCTGTAATTTATTTATCCATCAACACAATTTAAAATTTGATGTACAGCCTGAAGTCTGTAATTTTAACACAATTTGGAACAGATTTTTATGAAGAGCAAATCTTTCCCACTAAACTGGTCATGTGACCAGGACATAAGTGTGTCCAGGGACTCCGGGGGATTAATCGTCAAATTACAGTAGTTGTTATCAGCTAAATACCACAATTAATTGTGATTATTTTTTTGCCAATATTGCCCAACCCTAGCTCAGTGCTAGCGCGACAAACAAGCTAAACTGAGGTCCTCCATCCATATTTTCAGTTACAGGCTGAGTCATTGTTGTGTTCCCCTCTCTGTCATGTGGATGGAGGACCTCAGTGACGAGAGGAGAATGTGTAGCTATAGGTAGGATGCAGGATATAGCTCGGTAGCAGCCTCACACCGAGGACCTATCCAYGTCATCATTTACCCAGAATGCTTTGCGTTTAAAGAAAATGGCCCCGTCCGTGTAATATATTTTTAAACTTTGTTTAAAAATGATAAATCTGAACATCCTACTGTATTTTTACAGTCTTTATTTTACAGTTAAAATATATGTTTATTAAATAAAGTCTAATGTTACAACTAATCATGGATCCCTAACAAGAACAACAGATWGTAAAAAGATGTGTTTTCATCACTTTCACTGACATGTCTGTATGAAGTGTCTCAGTGCTGTTTGATCAGTTAACGTTCCTGTCAGAGCTGCAGCTCCATCACACCATCCATGTAAATCATTATGAACACTGGTTTTTGCTGACGTTCTCTGCAGAGAGACCACCTGGTTATGACCGAGTGAGAAACGCAGAAATCGGGAACAAAGACTTTGAACTGGATGTGTTGGAGGAGGCCTACACAACAGAGCACTGGCTTGTCAGGATATACAAGGTAAAACCCAACTTATTAAATCTGCACCTTTTTGATTATAACAATTTATGATGTGAAAAATGCAAGTGGCTAGTTTCTGCTTCTAACAGTTTCTACACCATTAAATGATTGGCAGTTAATGTAATTTAAACTCAGGGTTTTTGTGAAACAACAAACGTTTGCTCACCTTGTTCAGCTCAATTCAGTGATCAGGAATTCTCCCTTTTACAAATCAAAGTACCTGTGCACAGCTCAACCCCAACTTTTGCTTTAATGCTTGATTTCTTCCCCCAAAATAACTGTTACTACTTTTAACTCTCGTCCTCAACTTTTAGTCTTTMTTTTCAGAGACAACTTTAGTGATTCAGTTTTGACCTGCTGTGTGACTCTATCATCCCACTGACTGTTATCAGACAAAACCTGACTCTGATTTCATTTTATACAAAATTTACAATAAATTTATAGTAGTGAATGCTGCACATTTAGTGTTTTTTTTTTAAATCATATGATAATACGCACACAAAGGGATTAGTTTTCCATCACTTGAAACGTGACCAGGGCAGGTTTGTCATCTGTATAAATGGAGGGGGCTTGTGGGCTCATTAAAGCCATCCAGTCTAATTATGATACATGGATTAAACTGATGCTGCTTTTAACAAATAAAGCAACTCGGAGCCATAGTTTCAGCTCATCAGAGCAGAGCAGGGTGGGTTGTCAACTTGTCACCTTTGAGCTGTGAGCCCCTCTGTCCCAAAGGCTAGTGGCAGCCATTTTTAATAAGGTGCTGTCCAAAGGTTATTTCAATCCTAAATGAACATTTAATACTTAGCGTTAAATGAAAACTGTCCAGTGTTTCACAATTGCTAATGACTGAGACAAACATTACTTGGTATGAACAGTGATTTTATGATTATTTTTTGCTTTAAGTTACACAATCACCCACTGATGAATCTAAATGATAAAAACAATGTAAAAGAGGTTTAATGTAAAATATTCAAGTCCCTTTTAAGATAACTTTTATTTTGATAAACTCACTGCTACTAAAGACGGAATAATTACACAGATATCAAGTCAAAGTATTTTCTTTTTTTTTTTTTTTCAGGTCAAGGATTTGGACAATCGAGGTCTTTCGAGGACATAAAATCTTCAAACTGCAGTCAAACAGCCTCTGGGCGTGCAGCACTGAACACCTTCCCCCTGTGCTCTGCAGATATAAAGGGGGAAAAGTGCTTTTTTATACTTTGGGGGAGAAAACTGCATTGAAGAGATTTTTCTTTTTCCTTTTGGGGGTTTTACTGAATGTCTCATCTCATGTGGGATAAGAGGGCGCTGGTGTCAAGACTGATGCCAGAACATAGTTTACCAAGGGGTGTGTAAAAGAAAGCAGTGTTCAATTAAGTTTTTTTTTTTTAAACAATGCGGTCAAATAAAATGGGATTAAATGTGATTGTTTTTTCTTTCTTAATAAATACAAACAGTTGAACTCTGTAGTGTTCATTTATTGTAGACRAACTTAACAGATTCATAACATTAGTGTGCTGATCACCACAGCTTCTCATGCCTTTAACAACTTTGGTCTTTAATCGACAAAACAAGCAAATGTGCAGTAGTTAAACTTTAACTTACATTTTGATAGCATATTGCAAAAGACATTACAGAACTAAAACTGACACCTTCCTAAAACTCATTTTCCCCAACTTTGTCAGGATTTTTTTGAGTGTTCATTTTAATTTAAAAACAAATTCACATAACAAAAAAAATGAAAGCTAGCAGAAGAAAAAATCTTATCTGCCCCCATTAAAGAAAAAAAACTAATTTCAAATTAAATGTTTCAGTTAAAAAAATTTTTAGGAAGGTGTTCATTTAAAAATATCCCACACATTCAGAGCAGGAAACAAAGTTAAACTTATGTACAGTAGATACACTGAAGTTAGTAAAAACATTTCAAATCTRTCCGTTCATGTTTTTGTGGCCTATTAAGCAGCTGAACGCCTCAGGGTCTGCCCTGGTCAGGCAGCTCCTGCAGGAGGGCAGGGTTTTTCCTGTAAATATAAGCATTAGCATCATCCTCATTGAGCTGCACCAGCTCAGCCAGCGAGGACACGCAGGGATCGTGATCCACCAGCATCGAGGGCAGGCAGGAGGATTTACGCTGGATGCGACAGGAACGACGCACCGGGGTCAGAAACTTCACATCTTTGATGCTTCTCCTTGTTTTCGACGTGCTGACCTCCTCGTTGATTGTTTTCTTGACGCTAGACGCGACGAAGCAAAGGAATTAAAAATAAAAACAGGAACGGGCAAAAGTATAGTACTGAGACCACAATTACACAACCCCACCTTTGTAAGTATGGAGTGGTCTTCACGCTGTATTTAATCACTGAAGCATCTTTCATGTCTGGTGTTGCCTTCCTCACATCCACACTTTCCTCCTCCTGGTCAATTTCTTTCTTCACTTCCTCTGCCTTCATCCTTTCATTTTCGACCATCTGCGAACACTCGGGTTTGTTTTCTGCATCGTCACAATCCTCGTTCACCTGCTGGAGTTCTTGATACAGATGACACAAACAGGTGAGTTTATTACAGGTTTCTACACATTTCACATCCTAAAATTCCAGCCTTTAATCAGACTAATTGAGAGATTTGTTTATTTTCATACTTTTTTCACAAACATTTATTTTACTGCAGAGGTTCGAGCTGTGACCCAGTTATCCCAGTGTCAGGGTTGAAGTGTGTGTTTGGACAAAATGAGTAATAATTAGTAAAACTTCCTGTTTTTTTCCCCATTTAAAGGCCCAGTCACAACAACGTTTTAGACAACTCATGAAAATTTTAAAGACCTCTAAATTGGAAGTCTCTTTTAGGCGTGTACATTCTGTAATGCTGGCAATTTGATCATTTCTATGACATAATGATTTAGTAAAAATAAAATAAATTTGCATAATATGTCTAAAATGTTAGTGTGACAGTGTTCACCACATGAAGGGTTATTTGAGACGATTACAAAGACGCCCCAACAGATTTAAAGTTACCAGCAGCCTGTAGGATTTTAATATTGCAATGGAAATCTCTGTGATAAACCCACATTTAAAATATTGGAGGCAGAACATGAATGCAGAGAGACATTTAATGATTTATGACAGTCTAAACAGTCCTTTGTGACAGTATTTATCATAGACAAGTCTTTTGTTTACATGCATTMTTTAGTTTAATATACCTGGAAAACTATTGGATTTAAATCAAATTGCACCATTTCATATAATTTAGGAAACATTTTGTTAAATTTCATATTTTCCAGTAGAGTAGCTTAATGCTGACCTCAAGCTTTAAGAAAATAAAGTAGAAACAAATGTTTCTCTCACACTCACACACCTGAAAAATGACAAAGAATGACAACAGCCCACTATATCACAGTAACTTACCATCACTGCATCTGGAGGGCGTCACCAGGGACTCCAGTGCATCACAAAGGTTCATAACAATCTGTTAACATGAAAAAATTGTTACACTGCAAAATAATAAATCTAATTTATTACAAGGCAGGGGGGAATAAATTGGTGAGGCATCATGAGTTTGTTTCTGTGCCCAAAAACAACGATTTGAGTCTTCAGTCTGACTAAAACCGTGACATCTGCTGGCCAACTTCAGCCAAGTAAAAAAAGATATTTTAATATACGGATATCTACAAATAATCTAAAACATTACAGAAAATAAAAACTTAATAAATAAAAGCTACAGATTTGTTTGACTTATTCAACCTGGACTGCTTTAAAAACACTCATTGTTGAATTATTCTGCTTCAGGAGCAGCGATACAAGATCCAAAGCTTTGGTATTTGACCGTAACTTGAAAAAAAAAATTTTAATTAAAATTTTCTTACATCATCCACTCTGTCCTGAGGGTCAGCTGACAGATCTAGAGCAGAGTTTTCAAGCAGGTCCAGGGTGGTGTTCATGAGCTCAGGAGTTTGGCCGTGGGTCAGGTCTTCTCCCTGGGTTCCTGCAGCAGCAGCAGCAGCCTGCAGAGTGTCCGCCTGCAGACTGGGCTCAGCAGCAATGAGAGGCTCAACGAGAGACTGGACTTCAACCTTGCCTTTTGCAGGAACTTTGTTTGAAGGGGCTGCAGCCGTCATGGCTGGTCTTTTTAGAGTCTTGCCCTTGGAGGCCTTCCACTCAGCCAGCTTTGCTCTGCAGAAGAAACAAACTTGTTCAGACCAACACACACACAAAAAAAAAAACTGTTTCTTTGAAAAGGGGGGTAAAAATCACTTTACCTTCTCTCCTCTGCAGTCTCCATGGTGAGTCTGTACTGGCTGAGGCTGCTGAAAGCTGCAGGTTTATTCACCTTGTCTGTTACTGGGATCTTTGGCTTTGTGTTTGGATTAGGAACCACGGTAGTGTTTCTTGATCCAGCAGATCTAACAGGTGCTGAGATGGTTCTAGTGAGAGGGCGATGAGAGGAGAATCCAGCAGGACGGCTGGTACTAGCACTAGCTTTGGTCACCTGAGCAGGTTTATCGAACACTGATTTGGACGTCTTCGGCACAGCAACAGATTGGAATCCATTCTTTTTAGACACGTTTTCATGTCTTTGGCCGTCTGATCTGGGTACTGATGATTTTAGAGTTCCCACAGTGTCGCTTGATTTCCAAATGGACCCAATTTTGGACTGAATGATCTTGCCTCTGTACATCCCCGGGGCAGATTTTGATGATGGCGCAGCCGGCAGTGCCTTTAAAGCTTCTGCAGTTGTTTTTCTGACAACCACAGCCTGCTCCTGACCACATGTTGGTCGTTGGACATCTGGAGTAGTTGCTTTCACACCTCTCTGCACAGTCGTCACCTTCTTCTGGGCATCCCCCAACACTGGCTTTGAGTCCACCTTTTTAGGCTTTGCTGGAAGAGACTGCGGTTTGGTTGTAATCTCTTTTTTGTTCCCTTGCAGTTGGAATGGGACAGCAGAGGTCTGATCTCGTTGGATGAGTGACTTAGGTCCGTGTGCAGGCAAAGTGTTTTCTTTGTTTCCCTGAAACAGTTAAAACACTGTAAACAGGCTGAAACAAACTGGGGACTGAGCTTTCATTTTTAAGGATTATGTTTTTAGAACTCACCCTCTTGTTGGTGTGCTGTCTTCTTGAAATCGCAGCACTCTCCATAGTGTTAGCTTTTGTAGTCTAAACAAAGAAATACACAATCATCAAGCCTGGAAAAAACAATATATACACACACAATATACTGTAGATAT